GTACCTTGTCTAAAAATTATTCAGCCCTTCCTAAACTGTATTTTCAAAGCTCTGGCCACTTGTTTGTGAAATATTACTACAAATCATTAAGAAAACCAGACTTTCATAGTTGGAAAAAAAAAAAAAACTAAGCAAGAAAAGAAAAAAAGGTAGAAACAAATGTGCCAGGATGTTGATAATCTTCAAATGTACGCGATTTGAAGGCTCATTTTATTATTCTCTCTCTCCTGCTGTAAGTGTTCGGAATCTTTCAAAACAACCACATTTAAAAAATTGGTTGCCCAAACTTCTAGCCCACTTTGTTCTCCCCCTTTAACTAGGATAAGCCTCAGTACTTCCAGCATGGGCTGCTCACTGGTACATGTGTTCTCAAGTGGCATGGAGCGCCTCCAGGATCCTCTTCACACCACTGGCTTTGAAGGCTTCAAGTCACCTCTGCTGGGAAGCGGTTGGTTAGTTGCTCAGATGGAACTGACGATTTCTCCCATCTTTGTGTACTCATAGATAGAATTTGCTTCATAGTTCTATTATAGTATTTGTACAACTTTATTATATGTAATTGTCACTTGTTTTTTTTTTCTTCTGCTTGAGAGGAAACTCCTTTAGACTGGGCACCATATCTTAATTATCTTTCTTTCCCCCTATGTGTCACAGAATCTGGTGCAAAGTCTGCTGTAGATCATATAAGTCCCTTAAGAATGTCTACGGGATGGTAGAATTATCTGTCTTCTCAGTACTGAACATAACGATCATTTCATAACCTCAATATACATAGTACTTAAGAAGTATTATTTTGAAATCTGTGCAATTTATATTTTCACTGTAGAAATATGGAGCTATGCAAAACTCAGTGCATTTGTTTAGTTTAACCTAGTTACTAGGGCAATTTCTGAAGCCTCCTCATTAATTTCAGGTATGAGACATTTGACTAGAGCCAGGAAATCATTTTGGAGAAACTGCATAACTAGGTCTCATTCTGGTGCAATGCACACTATTACTATCCACAAAGTGCTTTTGACATACCAGGAAATCTTTTGACAAAGCTCCTCTCCCTTTAGGGAAGCGTGGGTGGTAGTACTGGAGGTGCAGGATGGGGCAAAAAAAGCGACATTCCAAATAAAGCACTGAAATTCTTCTATCCTATTATAATTCGATCTGATGAGATAAAGTTGATTTGCTCCAGATAATTACAAATCTTTTTAAAAATAAGTGTTCTAAGAGCAAAACAAACATATGACACATTATAAAGGTGAACTCTATGTACAAATTTAAACTTTGATAAAATAACTAGTTTTCATGGGATCCAATGTTAACAGCCTTTTAAAAATAATCAAGGGAAATGTATTTTACTAGTGTAATTTGGGCACGTGGCATGTGTTTTGAAAAATCCACCTCCTCTGGGAATTGTACACCTAAGATACTTGTTCAGAAATGTTCAAGCTGCCAGATGCTTGAACCAGAAATGGGCAAATCTGGGTGAAGTACAGTTATTATGTAGTCTTTTCTTGTGTATGTTTGACAGTTGTGGCCAAATATACAGGTGTCACCTCCCTCAACTAATCTTTACCATCTGTTGCCTCAGCTCATCTTAGAGTTCATAATTGCCTTAATTCTCCTAGGGCCAAGTCGAGAGTTTATTATTAAGCTCAGTATAGATTTGTTAGCAGGCTTTTGGCCCCTTGACCCAATCATGTGTACTTGCTCAAAGGGGAGGCTACCCAATATTTCCCAGTGTTTCCTTCCAACTTTGCTTGTTTCCTTCACTCACCCTGAAGCTGCATCTCTTTTAGCCCTTTAATCTGCAAAGTAGTGATGGTGGCTGGTAGCATTTGATAAAGAATTCACCTTTTCTGGAACATTATTTAATACAGATTTTTAAAAGGATTATTATAAACACTAAGGAAAATTATAGTATATGAAATTTTTTCCAGGTAAAATCCATTAGTCATGATCAGGATTCCTCAGTACTGAAGACTGAACATGCATAATAAATGTACTTGGTGGCAAATTTGCTTTAGGCTAAAAATGAATCCTCTGGCTCCTCTGTGGAATAAAGTGCCTTGATCTGGAGTTCTTGAACACCACTATGAGTATAGTCAGTTGAATAATTTGGTTACATTTTAGCCCCATTTTCTTGGGAATATCAACCCTATATTTGTTATGGGACTTATTTATGAATTTACATAGTCTACACTAGGTTAGTCTTTATTATTCAAATCATTTTTACTTATATAGTAAGTACTGTTGTGCTGTTCCCTACATGGTTGTATAAGCTATGCAAGTTCACAGCAGAACTGGCATTCACTCTCTTAGTTTATGACTTATAACATTCTTTTAATAACAGTATATTTAGACATAGACAGGAATTTAGTTACTTTTCAAGATTCTTTTCTTGAACAGAATAAGGACAAAATGCTGTTTAGAAATTCAATGAAAATCTTGTGGAATATATTTTTAACTTATAATGTAAGCTGTGTCTGTGACATCATAGGGACTATGCAATTAAAATAACAGCTAAAGAACAAAACAAAAGTAATTCAGTTTACCAAACCCAGAAAGGTGAAAGTATTCCATGAAATTCAACTCCACAAAGAAATGTTAAGTGTGAACAGAACTGTTATATAACCTTCAATTTATTTTAATAATGCTGGAAGAGCAGATGCCAGAGCTGTTCCCAGCAAGTTTTTAAGGTTTCCAGGATGTGTTCCCATTAATTTTTTTAAGCATTTACTATATTGTGCAGTCTGTAACCATATTTACTAATTTATATTTTGTTTCCTCTTAAGACTGACTCCAGTTCTCCTAAGAGAGGTGCAACTGAGCAGCACTGCAGGAATCATGTGCAAAGAAGCTTCTGGATGCAGGACAGAGCACAGCCTCAGGAAGATCACCTGATTACCTCTTCCAGCCCTGGCAAACAGAGGGCTCAGCTGGGTTACCCAAGTTCACAGGAGCTATTGACATTCAGCAGCAGCTCTCTCTCATTATGGATCAGCAGGGGACTGTCTGGGTCTTAGGTTAACTCTTCCCTACCCTGTTAGGGAGATTACATTGGAGCCAAAAAAGAGGCTGTAATGTAGCTTCACCTCAGTTTATTCCTGGTTGTTATTCAAGCAATGAACCTTTTAAACCAATAGTTAATAAACCTCTTACAAGCAACTATCCACTTAATCGTTTTAAACTAGATAAAACACAAGTAAATTTATTTGTCTCCTTTTAGTTCATTATGCAGTTAACGTTTATTTCTGGGGAGGGTGGGTGTAGCCAGGCTATGTTTCACCTTCCCATCAAAAAGAATTCCCACTTAATTTTTAGTGAAGAGGCCTCATATAGTTTCTAAAAGGCATTTTTAATTCTTTTTCACTTAGAAGTGCAGGTTTTCCTTGAATCACTCATGTAAAACTAAAAACTCATCATCTGAGAAGTGAATTTTAGGGAAGTTTGGAACCTCTGTTAGTTTGCAGACTCCGAGCTCTTAGTGGTGAGCCAGTTCCCCTAGGCTTTGATCTCCTGCTGACACATGATGATCTTGTAGAAGTGACTTAACCTGTCTGCTTCTATGAACTCATTTGTAAATTAATAATGGGTAATTAATCCATGAGGCATGTCTTTCTGGTAGCTATGGGAAGACTAACTCACTATCAAACCCAGGGCCCTCTAAATCACCTCTGTCATTGCTACCTCTCTGTTTTTAAAAATTCTTATTGGCCCTGGAACACACATTCTGAATTCTAGGTTCTCTTCCTTTTTGCCTAACTACTCCTGCAAGTGGTTGAGGATCTACACACAGTGGAGGCCAATTTTCATTCAACTACTATATTTAATAAAAACTATTAAGTTCTTTTTGAAGGGCTAACCACTTCTAAGACCATTAAGGAGCTTAGAGTTAAGCCAGAAGACTTGGAGTTACAAAACAATGTTGCCAATTCTAGAGAATCCAAATGAATGATTGAGACTCCAGGTGGATTTGGTGAGTTAGGAGTTACCCAATTTGATTTTTGATTCTATTGGATGACCTAGCTAACTGCCAAATCTATGTTTGACATGAGGAAATAAAGACTACTTAGGGAGATGCATTCAGTCATGACTTTAATCACAAATGCAAACAGAGATTCCCAGATCTATCTCTATCTCTAACATTTGCCATTGTTGATCTTTCCATCTGCTATGGAGGTTCTAGGAGTTGTGTCAGCTTTATTGTGTTAATTTAGTGTGAACGAAGTAAATTCAGGTAATGCAAATCCTGAGTAATTATTTCATATAGTTTCTAAAAGGCATTTTTAATTCTTTTTCACTTAGAAGTGCAGGTTTTCCTTGAATCACTCATGTAAAACTAAAAACTCATCATCTGAGAAGTGAATTTTAGGGAAGTTTGGAACCTCTGTTAGTTTGCAGACTCCGAGCTCTTAGTGGTGAGCCAGTTCCCCTAGGCTTTGATCTCCTGCTGACACATGATGATCTTGTAGAAGTGACTTAACCTGTCTGCTTCTATGAACTCATTTGTAAATTAATAATGGGTAATTAATCCATGAGGCATGTCTTTCTGGTAGCTATGGGAAGACTAACTCACTATCAAACCCAGGGCCCTCTAAATCACCTCTGTCATTGCTACCTCTCTGTTTTTAAAAATTCTTATTGGCCCTGGAACACACATTCTGAATTCTAGGTTCTCTTCCTTTTTGCCTAACTACTCCTGCAAGTGGTTGAGGATCTACACACAGTGGAGGCCAATTTTCATTCAACTACTATATTTAATAAAAACTATTAAGTTCTTTTTGAAGGGCTAACCACTTCTAAGACCATTAAGGAGCTTAGAGTTAAGCCAGAAGACTTGGAGTTACAAAACAATGTTGCCAATTCTAGAGAATCCAAATGAATGATTGAGACTCCAGGTGGATTTGGTGAGTTAGGAGTTACCCAATTTGATTTTTGATTCTATTGGATGACCTAGCTAACTGCCAAATCTATGTTTGACATGAGGAAATAAAGACTACTTAGGGAGATGCATTCAGTCATGACTTTAATCACAAATGCAAACAGAGATTCCCAGATCTATCTCTATCTCTAACATTTGCCATTGTTGATCTTTCCATCTGCTATGGAGGTTCTAGGAGTTGTGTCAGCTTTATTGTGTTAATTTAGTGTGAACGAAGTAAATTCAGGTAATGCAAATCCTGAGTAATTATTAGCTCTCTACCTTTCTATCACCATACTGGTTAACTTGATGATTTCAATTACCCCTCTGGCTTTAACCATTTCCCAAATGGTAACACTAACACCAGCCCTCTGCTGAGCTCCAATTCTATTTTTTCATTTGCCTGCTCTGCATTTCTTCTAGTTCATCCCATTGGCATTTTTAATTCAACAAGTCTTTAGTAGTATCTTTTCCTGAACAATTTGCTTCTTCTGACTTACTTTTTGTATATATAGAATCAACAGCCATGCAGTTAATCAAGGTCTCAACTTCAGAGTCATTCTTGATTTTGACTCACATAATTTCTCTAACATTAATGTATCATGAATTTGATTTTTCAGACTTTCCTTAATTTATTTTGTACCCACATATCATCAGATAATCTTAAAATAAAATTGTCATTCTCTCACTCTTCTGTCATACCCTTAAGGAACACAGAATAAATTCCGAACTCCTGAATGTTTAGAATCTGCTACTGAATATTACATTTAAACTTTGACAATCTAATATGAATTTGCCTTTTGTCAGCCTTATCATTATTGCCATATAGCCATCCTCTAAAGTTATTCAATTTCCAAATATGCTCCGTATAGTACTATCTCCTCCCGTCTACACTTGCCTTCTTTACAATGAATATCCTACAATTTTTCAACAGCTAGTTCAGATGTCCAGGACACTGTCACCGATTTCATCTTACAAATAATCTCTTTTCTGCCATATAGTTTTGAGTTCTCCTTTTTTTAGAGAACTTATGTTTACTACCAGGACCATAACTACTTACAAATTCACCTTACTTCTAAGTTCTATGAAGAAAGAGGAGATGATATCTTGTTGAAAGTATGTCTCTTTTAGGTATCTAGCACAATTCTTGGTAGATGGTATATGGTCAATAATATTTATTGTAAAAACAATATGAATGAAATGGAATTAAAGCTAACCTTTTTCTGAATAGTTTGAGCTTTTAAAAATTTTGAATGTCAAACTGTAATAAAACCCACTTTAGTTCATCATTTTCTGTATTCAAATTTCCTCAAAAGGACAGAGAAAAATCTAAAATCTAAATTTATTTTTCAAACTGTAGAGTTAAGGACAATAGATGGCTTTAAAAGAGGATTAAAATTTAAATGTGAAGAATTAATAACATCAAGAGTGACTCTCCCATTGGATTGTAAATAGAATGGGAAAAATCAAACAGTGTAAATAAAACCATTCTTGTTTGACTCTCAATTAATAATTTGCAGTAACAGCCTTCTCAGGAATATTAACAGCAGTGTACAAGCAGGACTTTCTGTGGTCAAATCTATGCAAGAAATCAAGGGGAAAAAATGAAGTAGAAAGAATGCAGAGAAAGAAGAGAAAGAAATGAAGTTTCTGGAAAACATGGATAATTTATTATCATATTATCATCATAATATGATGAGAGAGTTAACAAGTTAAATATCAGTAAGTCATAATAGTAAGAATAATAAAGTTTTACATATTTATATATAAAAAAGAAAGACTAGTTTGTGTTGCTTGTGATAGAGAAGAGTATGAAATTATTGGAGAGGATGCAAAACTATCTTTTTGAAAAGGAATAGTGGCAAATTTGGTAATGTGGTAAAATCACTGTTGTAAAAAATACTGTACAAATATCCACCACATAGATAAACATTTTTCATGTCTGAAAAAAGAAAAGAAAATAATTGAACTTTATCTAATCACCACTTTTAACCTCCAGGCTTGAGCCTATCACTTCTAGGTCATTGGAAATACATTTGTTTTCCATCAATGTTCTTGACATAAAATTGTGGGATTCCTATTGGGTATTTTCCCTCCTCTAACAATTAACTTCTAATTGTTGCTCCTATGTGGAAATAAAAAGTTCCTATTTGAAACTGTTGAAAATCGGCATATAAATATGAGATTATCTCACTATGACTTCAATATTTGACTTCTCTATATCACTGAACCATTGTTTGTAGTGTCTGGTTATGTTCTCTTTCCTATACTTTCACCTGCAGTCTGACCCATGCTTTCACTCAACAGGGGTGACCTCAGAGGAAGCTGAACTCTCTGTCCTGTGGTTTCCCAGCATACATAATTATGCTGAAATTGAAATTGTGCTTCAGGGTTACTTGAAGTCATCATTTCCAGACTGCTTATAGTCATCTCAGTGATGATAAGAACTCCATTATGATACATCACAGAAACCTGGCATCACCCACTCTTCCTACATTTTTATTTTGGTGCAGTTGAGTTACAGTAAGCATTGCTTCAGTGACGGTGTGCTTAATATTAAATCACCTGTGAGCAGTCTGTGTTTTAACAAGCCCTCCTGGTGATTTTGAAACATGCTAAGTTTAAGAGCCACTGGTTTGGGTAATTAATAATAACTGCTGGAACAGACAATCCCCAAATCTCAATTGCTTAACAAAGGCTTATTTCTTGCTCACCTCACAGTCTAGTATGGGTCAGATAGGCTCCATTTGTCTTGTAACTAAGACATTTTGAACACCTGGCTTCCAAGCTGCTGAAGAAGGGAAAGAGACCTGAAAGACTGCTTGGGAAGAGCTTATAAGCCAAGCTTGGATGTTGTTTTCATCACATCTGTCCACATCCTCTGTGCTGGAGTCCAGTCACGTAATTGCAACATCCTGCAAGGCAGTCTGGCAACTCTAGAGAAGCTCATGGTTACTTGTGAGAGTGAACAGTTGGCCACAAGCAGGATCAGGAAAACATATTACTTCCAGCAGCTTTATAAAAGAGAATTAAAATTTGAATGTGAAGAGTTAATAACATCAACAGTGAATGCCCTTCACTCTTTACCCAGGCAGATAGGTTGTTTTAACTTTTTGCTTTATTATTTTTTATAGCACTCCTGGACCTCTGGCTCCAAACCACGGCCTTCAAAGCCATCTTCCTACTTATATTGAAAACTTTGATTAGAATAAGGTCTCTTTATTCCTTCTGGAGCATTATTTCTGTATGAGTCTGTGGCCAGGCTAGTGCCGGATAAAACATAGACATAGGCATCAACATAAGTAGACAAACAGACATGGAAATAAAAGGGCTGCTTTAAACTGTGCTGAAAGGTAGAAATGAAAGATTATTATCTCTCAATGTCACTCTTTCCACCATTTATCACATTTTCCCGAAGGTCTCAATCTTGAACCATGTGCAGTTCTTCTGGTATTTAATTCCATAACTCTCCATGAGGAGTCATAAATTCCAATATCACAGAGGCCAGGCAGGTAACACAAACAGATGAAACAGGGTGCAAGCAACATCGCTGGAGGGCTGCAGACTGTGGCCAATGGCGAAGCCCAGACCCCATCTAAGGACGGCTGTTGGCCAGCTCTGGCCTGTTGCTCCCATGGAGGAATGCGACCTCAGTGTTGCTAGATCTTTCTTTTACTCCTTTTACCCAGGAAAGCTGGAAACCTGAATGTTTTGGTTACATTTCTTAATTTTTACAAACACTGTACAAGAAATAAAAAAAACAAACAAAAAGTTCTCTTTGGCAGAATTAGCTTGTGGGTCACTAACTTGCAACCTCTGTGATAAACTATACAACCATACCACTATTTTACAGTAACACCTTAAAGTTGTTTAAAAATTGTAAATCCCCCAATATATAACTTAAAATATCTCTTTATGTTTTTCCGATGGAAGTTAATGGATTAGCTAACTTATCTTTTCACTTCCAGTTGATTTCTGCCTCCTAAGTTTTTTATTGGTCATTTTATTACTAATTTCATGTTTTATTCACCAAAGTTGACATTCACTAACTCCTTATGTCCCATTAAGATAAGAAAATAAGTGCTTTCTTATGTCTTTCCCCCTCCTTTCCTCTGTACTACCTTGTTCTGTTAGCTGGGCCATAATTTTTACATTAACCAAATTCTTACTTTTTAAATTCTGTATTACCATTATAATTAATTGAATGTTTAATCCTTTATCTATATTTTATATTCCCAAATTCAGAGCCAGTAATGTTTTCAATATTGTTATTACAGTGATTGCCAATTACCATAGAACAAGGTGGAATGACATGATCTCATG